AGGAGGTATAGATTGGACATCCGCAAAAACTACTTCACGGTTAGGGCGGCTAGGAGCTGGAACCAACTTCCAAGGGAAGTGGTGCTGGCCCCTACCCTGGGGGTCTTTAAGAAGAGGCTGGATGCCTACCTGGCTGGACTCGTTTGAGTCCCGTTTCTCTTTTTGGGGTTTTTTGTTGTTCTCCCGCCCTGGTGGGGGGTCGGGCTAGAAGATCTACTAGGTCCCTTCCGACCCTTAATCTATGAATCTATGAATCTATGAAACAGATTAGGGAGGGAACAGGGAGCACAATGGCAGATAGAGAAGGAAGCAGAGCAGCAGATTGGGCAGAAGAAAGGGATGTGTGTGGCATATGGAGCATGTGGGGCCAATTTGTGGCATGACTACCAAAAAGGTGAGGCCCCACTGCACTAAGTTCTCCAAAATTGTACTTATGGGGCCTTTATTTAATACATCCACTGTCTTGTGAATCACTGACCCTGCTTTTGTAACAACCCAGCATCTCATTACAGCAATTGCTTGCATGGTAAAATAACATTAAGAATTACCATTTGTTATCTGTATTACAATTGCATTTAAAAGCCCAAACACAAATCAGAACCCCTTTACACTAGGTACTGTGCATATGAAGAGAGAGGTTTTTGTTCCCTGTGCAGCCTAGACAGGGCAGACAAAGAGTACAAGGAAAACTGGTACAGGGAGATGAGTGGTAGTGTTGAAGTGATGTAATTGTGATGGTCCAGGAAATATGCAAGAGGCAAGGATTTTTATGGGTTATATCTTTTATTGGACTAACTGCATGGCTGGGATAATTGATCCAATAAAAGACTACCATAATTCATATAACCAAGCCTAATGAGTCTTTGGTCTCACAAGCTTGTTCAGTGGCTAAAATACTGCCCCAACAGCCCTTCGTGTATCACTGACAAAAAAGGTGCAGATCATCAGCTGTTCAGGGTTCACAGCTTGAGTACCAGGGCTGAAATACACATCGTATGACCTTTGGCTGCATCTCAGAATGTCATTTCCATACTTCCATGTACAAGCAACTTGCAGTATATGAATATGACAGTTTTGCCAGAAAATAGCATGCAAATTTTTCCCCTCCCAACTGTAAAGTTTTGCATGTGTACCATAATCACTAATAACTCAAGGTCTGTATTAAGTCTTGTAGTTATTTTTAAATGGCAGTTTCCCATCTCTTTACAGAAAATCAAGCTCTTCAATCAGGACATCATGAATGCAGTGCAGGGAGAAGAGGTTTGCACTAACAAAAAGAGTCCTAAACTCTTCACAAAAATTTGAAAACTCTTTAATGAATGGGAAATAGATATTAATAACAATGCACTGAATAGTAAGTACTAAACTTTCGCACTGTGCCTTCACAAATTCCTAGCCAAGTCAACAGGCTCAATGTGTACACAAGTCAATTTATAGGAAATAACTTATCTTTGTCCAGGATTTTTTCCAGTAATGAGAGAGAGGAGTTCACAGTGATAATTTCATATTTGGAACCAAGCTTGTTTAAATTTTAGGAATGTTCAAGTCCAGAGTGTGGTGTGAGCCAGTTGCTGTTTTTAAATGACCTCTAATCCCAATTCAGTTCTAATTGACATAGTATCAACCCTGAACGCTAATACTAATGAAAGTAAAACCCTGAAGTAATGGAAGTTTAATTCCAAGGATGGTTTTGTGGTGATTGTTTCTAAACTTGTCAGTGGGTTGACTGACAAAAATAATAGATGCAAGTAAAAAATCTGCCATAAAATTACATGGGTTATTAATCAGTCTAAAGATAAATGTAGTTCTTATTCCATGAAAAGCAGTGTTATTGTTGAACTTGATTTTAGGTTGTGCCTTCAGAAGCATCTCAGAGAATTAAGTGCCCATCTTCCTTATGTCCTTTTGATATCTCATCCTATTATATACAATCCAGACCATTCAGAGTCTTTTAATGCACTGACTCTACCCCTGCCTCCTAGATAATATACAACACTAGAAAGAATTTTCTCAACCACTCACCGAGCATATATATAGCAAGCAATCCTACAGGTCAAAACTGTGCATCTACTACCACTGTAACCCAAGTGGTGCTGTAGCTCTTCTTCATTCCAAAGAGTAAATATAAGGCCACTAAGTAACAGTATAAATCCTGGATTTACCACATTTTTGTAGTGTAAAAATAAAAATTCTGGAAGCATCTGAGATAACAGTGCTTCTGTTTTAATGCCGTAGTGAAAGCCCTCATGAAAGAAGAAATTTTGAAATTTGAAAATCAGTATCGGGGAAAAGAGCTCCCAGGATTTATCAATTACAGAACATTTGAGAGCATTGTAAAAGAGCAAATCAGGTTGCTAATAATTCCAGCTACTACAGTGCTGAAGAACACAACTGGTAAGTTTCATTCATTGAATTTCTTATAAACTTTGACTATAGTTGTGGAACTGATTACGACTTTTAGATTTACTTAGCACTAGTACTTAGGACAAGATTTTAAATGGCATGAATCAAAATAATGATAAAAGCAATTCATTGAGTGCTGCTGTCTGTTTTAATACTAAAACATTATGTACCAATGTAGCCATTGTTTTGGATTAAATATATAAATGTGTATGTTCTGCGAAATATCAAGACTATTCAATGAAACAAAGAATATCCGTTTCTTCAAATTAGGTAAGAGATGAAAGAATTTCTGCTAAAATTATCCTTCATATTAATTTCCACATTACATCAGCACCTTGAAGCTGGTATATTTTTCATAGACTGAGCCCTGAAAGAGCCATTGTGATCTCCTGTGTACTGCAGATTACAACACTTCCCTGAATTAATTCCTGTTTCCACTAGAACCTATATATATTATAAAAACATGCAGTTATAATGGAGACCCCACAGCTGCCCTTCATTCAGAAGGAGAAGCGGGGGTACTTGGGAAGTGCGCCACTGTCCCAAGTACCCCAGTGTCTCCATGCCACCGCCACATACCCCCTGGGGCCTTCCCAAGTACCCCCAGGGGTACGCGTACCCCCGGTTGACAACCCTTGTTCTAAAGGTTAAAAGCCCTCATTCTTTGAACTTTGCACCTTATTTTAAGACTGAATGTGTCTAGCTTTACCTTACAGCCATTATATTAGGTTAGAACTTTCTCTGCTAGATTGAATACCAAAGATCAAATAGTGAATGTCAAATACTGGCTCCCCAGGGAGAAATTAAGTCTGCAAACAAATCACCCCTTAATTTCTTTCCTAAAATAAACAGATTGAGCTCCTTGGTCGTGTCCACATGTGCGTGGATGTTTGGTTCCCTGGGGACAGCTAGCAGCAGTGCGCCTTGTGCCATGGCTAGTTGTCCCTGAGGAATGTCTGTGTCACGTGCCCTCTGGTGCATGGTAAGTTACTCCAGGTGGAGTAGGAGAGGTTGGGGTCAGCACTGGGCTGGCCCCAGCAGCCTTACCTGGGGTCCTGGAGGCCTCCTGGGGCTGCAGCAGCAGCAATCCTGCCTTGCAGAACCTGACCAGCAGCTGGAGTGTGTCTCTGACTGGGCAGGTTCTGGTTTTGAGTGCCGCACACTGCCCCCGTGTGCACTGCTCCACTTTTTTAAAAACCTGCAGGAAAAAAAAACCTCTGCTCCCTTGCAGCATGGAGAACAGCTGAATGTGCACTACATCATGCCACAGACATATCTACAGCACCACATACCACACAGCTGTGCTCGTCTGCACATGGCCTATGAGTCTATTATTAAAGTCTTTTTTTCCAGCTTTTTAATCAGCCTTGTGACTCTTCTCTGAACCCTTTTTTTTTTAACAACATCCTTCTGGGACTATGTATGCTACAGAGGCATAGCAGGGTAGCTCTGCTCCTGGGGCAGCCACAGCATATAGGGCAACACCAGTTGCCACACTGTCTATGAACAGTGGTGCAGTCAGCCACTGGTAGCTAGCTTTGTGCTCCCTCCCCCAACACAAATGTGGTTCCCAGAGATGCTGCCCTGGTTACCTGACCCTCAGTTACACTACTGATATGGCAGATCTGTAAAACATTCCAGCAATGGTTGTACCAGGGCTAGATACAGAGGCAATTTGATATTCCCTAGTTTATATATCTAGGAACACAGGACTAGAATTGACTTCCTGGGCCTTCAGGTATGGTCTTCTGCATTTACAGAGCTGTTTGTCTACAAGTATCAACAAAATATCTACTTGAGCACACCACAGGCACAAAGCACCAAAACAAAAAAAGCTATCCTGCACCCTATGAAGAGCTCAGGAAAGACAGAGGTGCCAGAGCTTGCATTCAGCTGATTAAATACACAATTCCCTAGTCCTTTTAGTGGGAATCAAGTTCCTCAAATATGTAAGGACTCAGTATATGTTTAGTGGAAGTGTTACAGATTTTCAAGGCTGAGATTTGAAACCAACAAATGGGTTGGACTTTTACAGGTGTTTAAAGGTTAAAAATGTGATCACATGCATTGTTAGAGCAGAAGGGATTGAAAATATTTGCAATTTGTAAGACCACAACACAATATTACCAAATGTTTGTACTAGACAGAAAATAAGTGCACTGATCAAGAAGCTTTCAAATTAAAACCTGCTTTAAACTGAATCTGAATGCAATCTGTCAAGGTTTTGCATGGTTCTTTTTTATGCTCATGTCATTAGCTTACGATTTCCTTCTGATCACAGATTCACAGAAGTTTAGGGCTGGAAGGGATCTCATGAGATCATCTGGTCCAGCCCCCCTCATCATTTTTTTTTTTCTTAGACCTTGTACAAGATGCTTTTACCAAAATTGCTGTGAAACACTTTGATAATTTCCTTGCTCTTCACAGACCAGCAAAGGTAAGGAGCTACATAATGTGTCTCTGACCCAAGTCATAATTAATGGTTTATGTTTAAATCCAGGTTTATTTCTGGCCAATCTACCATGCAGCTGTTTTAATTGCTAATGAATTCTTCTCAATGTTATTATATTGAGAATATTCTTATTATAGGATAGTGAATAGCGCATAATGGAGTTTTATACAGTGAACAAATAAAGATACTGAACAAAGTGCCATAGGTTATGGAATTAGAGTCTGATTCCAACCTTGAAGGAAGTGGACAATCATCACTTTCCCTTTATCAGACCATTTCTGTGGTGACTGATTTCAGTGCTCACCTTTGTTGTTGTTGAGGCAGAAGGGGTGTACTTCCTTTTATAGATTGCTGAGAGGTGATAGGTCTCAGATGCTAAAAAATTCTTCCCTTTTTAATGACAGAGTAGAATTGAAGATGTAAAACAGAAACAAGAAGCAGCAGCTGAAAATATGATTCAAACCCCGTTCAAAATGGAAAGAATTGTTTACTACCAGGACAGACTTTACAGTGGAGATTTAGAGGAAGCTAGGAAGCTTCCTCAATCTACTCAGCGTTTCTATTTGCCTTACACTCTGGATTCCCCAAAACAGTATTCCATTAACAAAATGACTTATCACTTGACTGCATACTTCAAGGTAAGTCTTTCTCTTTTCTTTTCCAATAAATCTTGCTTTGTAAAAAAGATATACTCGTGGAAAAAGTAGGGAGTCTAAATAAAGGGAAGCAAGTCTTGTGGCAAATACTGAATTGGTAGCATGCACATAAGACCTATGCCCATAAAGAACATTAAAAACATTCCTTCTTATTGCTTTTTGGTGCTTGTTCTCACTGTGGTTCAAAACCTGCAGTGAAACATAGTGTAATCACTTGCAGCTAGGCATCATGGTTGTCTAACTGCTAAGAGTAATACTATATTGGGAAATCATATGCTATGGTCATTCTAGGGTAGAGATACTGGAGACAGATTTAAATGAACCAGCTTGGGGTATGTTAGCAAAATACATGCGACAGCACAAAGCTCAATAAAGGCTAATTTTACTCTTCTGGGTTTTATGCGGCCAGGGCTAGACTGCGTAAGCTTATGTAGCTTAGGCTGTCTGGCTTAGTAGTTAGGTTACCAGAAGGGGGACAGAGACAGAGACAGAATCCAAAAGAGAGGCCAAATCAGGAGGCAGGAATCGGGACCAAGTTACCAGATATAAGGGGTACCAAATCCAGAGGCAGAGTCCAAAGTACAGGCCAAGTCAGGGTTCAGGAGCCAGAGACCAAGTTACTAGATCCAACAGAAAATCCAAGAAGCCAGAGTCCAGGACCATAGCTGAGCAGGGTCACGAAATCAAAAAGCACTGGGTCAGAGAGGCTTACCAGAACAGGCGCCCAAAACTGTTGGCCAGCCTGCAATCTATGGCCCCAGGTGGAACCAAATGGGGGAGGCCTCTCCCCAGTGGCCAACCAAGAGCTCCAAGCAGTGGCCAACCAGGACCACCAGCTGGGGCAGGGCTGCCAGGAGACACCCCAGGCAAGTGCAGCCAACCAGGAAGTCAGCCCAAGCTGAGCTGTCTGCCAAGGCCCCTAGCAGCTTGTTCCAGAAGCTGTAAACTAAACAGCAGTAGTTTCTCTGCGTGTAGCATAGGCAGACCTGAATTTCAATCTGGTAGCAAGTTAAATGGAGGGAAACATCTTATTTTAGTGAAATATACTGTTAAATATTCCCAGCCTCAGCTAAGGAAAACTCTAAATATGTTGTTTGTGAATTGCAGAATCCCATTTTGTATATTTTCTTGCACATCCTTCCCCCTTGATTTTAAACCTATGAATTCTCTTCTTTTCTCTTCTCTTAGGGGACAGGTAATCGACTCTCCACTCAAATTCCTTTAATTATTTGTTCCTATGTCCTCCAAGACTATGGTGAAACATTACAGAATGCTATGTTGCAAGTTTTGCAAGACCAGTTCAACATACTTCTTAAGGAGTGGAAAGACATGTCCAGTGACAGGACCAATTTGAGGGAAAGTATTAAACGTCTGAGAGAAGCTCAACAATGTTTAGCAAAGTTCTCAATTTCAAGTAGCCATGCTTAAGCAACAGCACATCTTCTTTCATTTTTATGCCTGAATCATTGGAGTTGGTGTTCAGTTAGATGTAGGATTTTATTTTTGTATGGTGTGTGTATTTTTGCTGTAGAGACTCATTGAAGACTCCTGTTTGGTGAATTATCCTGAATATGTTAATAAATAGTTGAAGTGTGTATGTTTTGTTTTATATGGTGTGTCATTACTTCAGCCTCATTACTCTTTGGTCTATCTTGGAAGCAGACAATACATTTCTGAAGACGTACTGATAGGAGTTTTCATTAAGATATGAATCTAATCTTAAACATAATTAAATATAAGGTTTTAAATGTTTTGTCTCATTCCATAAAAGTAAATCACATGTGCAAGTCACTGAATCCACATGAGATCCCTCTAGAAAAGTTTTCTGTGCATGAGACACAGAGCACCTGTTGGAGATGATAGAATTTTTGTATCCCAGGGTAACATTGTAATGAATATTTTAGCAAAAAATCCTTGACAGTGGGCTGGTAGAAGAAATCAAAATGAGCCAGACCTTGTTTCACAAACTCTTCCTCTTCTTTTTTCAAAATCCTCTTTTTTGCTAATGCAAAACTTCCTTTTTTCAGAAGCTTCTTGTTGTTAAACAACAACAAACCATGAAACTTCCCAAAAAACTAAGCAACAAATGAAAAATTGTAATAATATTATTCTTATAAAAAAAGCAGATGAACCTAGGAATAGTGACAGATTAACACAAGTCTCCAGGCTGCATTTCACCCTGAGATGGCAAAGGGCTGGATACCACAGAAAAGAGAGAGATTACCATTTTCAAGTTTTTTCCTTCCTCTTGTCTGAGTGCAGAGCCCCAAAATATTTAATATCATGCCTACCAGGAGCAGTTTCTTTGGATGTAAGACCAAGGGCCACGTCTTGGAATTGAAACTACTTCCATTGTTTTGCCTGCTGGAAATAAAAGAGCCATTATGCTTAGTTGAAGCTGCCTTCAGATTCAGTTGCTGTCTGACTGCTATAATACAGCTAATGCTGATGGCTGCACCGGCAAACCTTAACCATGGGTCCCCTGGACCCAGAACGTTCACATCTGATTGTTCCTTTAGACCCTCTGCCCTCTGCCCCTTCCTTCTCCAGCTCAATAGACTGGCAGTAATTTCAGCATTGGCAACACGTTGGGGGTGCCCATGGGTGCACATGCACCCCCTGAGATTGGCGATGAACCCCCTGACAGAAGTGCTGCCAACGCTGCCAGTGGCACCTGTGGGCAGTCACCGCTCACTTCCCCCAGCCACCAACACTGCCAGCAGCGTCTGTGGGTGGTAGCTGACCACCAGTTGGTGCTCGCCTCCCTCTCCCCTCCCCCACCTCCAACACAGCCACGGCTTCCTGTAGAGCCAGTTGAATTTTGGGTTAGTAAAATTCACTTGAAGACAACTGTTTTGAGCTAGCTGCTCTGTTGATCAAACAAATGGGCAAAAATAGAAGGGCTTAATTTAGCTTGCTTTTTTGCAGGGACTTTAATGGGGCACAAGCATGTTCTTAGAGCTTTCCTGAAGCTGGACCTTAAGAATGACTCACAAAGGTGCCGGGTTCAGGAGCCTACAGCAACATGTGGCCTGAGGACTGGATCCAACAGATCCAGGGAGCTGAAGGGCTTTGTGCCTGTGCCCAAGCTGGGGCTAGGTAGTGAGGAGATTCACTGGCACTATGCAGCTTCTAGCTTCACCCACGTTGTAACTAGGAGGTGGGGAGAGGAGGGCAGAAGAGGGGCAGCAGCATTGCCAGCTGTCCACTCCAGCCCTGGCTCAGTTCCCCACCAGTTGGAAGCAGCATCCACACCACAGCTTGGGAGCACGGGGCTGAGAAAAGCAGCAGTGGCATGGGTGCAGCTCCTGGCTGACTAGTGCCAATGCAGATGCAGACAAAAGACCCCTGTTGCTGCTGCTGCACTATCAAAGCCACCTGGCCCAGGTCCGACCAGAGCCAGATTGTTGCAGCCCAAGGCTTATAAAGGGTGCTGGCTGCTGTCCTAGAGAATTTACAAGCTCCCCAGGAGCGGGAGTCACTTGGCTAAAGAGCTTTGGTGCGGAGGCTCAGGGCATGAAAACTTCAGCTCCTCTGGTGAAGATGAGAAATGCTAATTTCCTTATTCACAAATTAGAGTGAGGGAACATTTATTGTTAAAATAGCAATATTCAAATTTTGAGACCCTTGGGGAATCAAGACATTCTTCAAGTTAAGGGTTCTCTACCATAATCACCAAAATTAACTGAATTACCACATACAGGTGTCTCTTTCCTATTCATGTTTTCCTGTTTAAATAACTTTAGTCATTTGTTTTCTATAAAACAGGATACAAATCATAGCCAAGTTACTGACACAATGACTGTTTTTGACTTTTCATGTTACCTTTCTCTTTGGATCAAAACCTAGTTCTCACTGATGATTAGGGACACATTAGTTTTTCACTTCCTGCTGACAATTCCCATCCTGGCCTAACTGCTCCTCCTCCTCCTCATGATACGTAAAGCATGAGTCATTCTCTGTATTCAGTGATTTTCTAGCAGAAGCATTTCCCATCCTCCTTTATAAAGCCATTTCATGGCCTCATCACCTTTGTTGGAGACCCTTCTGTATACAAATCCACCAGGTTCCCATCGTACCTAGATCAGGTGCTAAGCTTCATATTTGCAGCATGGGAGGAGTAAGAAGATCTCAAGGAAGATTTTTATTGGGTTGGGAGGTTCCCCTGGGGCAGTCAGTACAAGATTCTGCTGGACCAAACGTATTCATGTCAGTTAATGAGAGTGACACATGCTGAGCGTCAAGTGTACCTGCAGTTGCCTTAACATACTTGAACCACAGAAACTCCTGCCCTCCTGAGGAACTCCATGACACTTGTCCCTTCCAGTTCCTTCTTGTCTCCTTCAAGACTTATAGCTTTTCCTTCCAGTTGTCATTCCTTTTTTCTTTTCTTTTTTTCTCTTCTCCTCCTCCTTTACCTTTCCCTATCAAATTCTCTTCTCTTTCACTTGTTTTCAGTCCCTTTCCCTTTCCTACTCTTCCTCTCTGTATTATTTTTCCCCAGAAGTCTTTTCATCCACTACTTCTTGCTTCTCTACCTGTCCCTCCTATTGCTGTCTTTGTGGTATCTTTATTTTCCAGGACACTACATCTGAGTTTTGATTCTTTCAACCAAAGCAAACTCAATTGCATCAAAACTCAGTTATTGAGGATAAAAGAAAGAGGAACTTCTTGTATAAAGTCTGAATGATGCAAAATTGCATGTGGGTCATTTGAGGACACAAAGGGAAGGAGGGGTAAGATCACGAGCCAAAAACAAAAAGGGAATGTCTAGCAAGTCACTGGTAAAAGGAATGTTCTTGACAAGAGCCAAAAAAGACAGGACAAAACTTGCCAGTTATTTACTTATGCATTACACAGGGTGGTTTCTATTTACTTGCTGCTGAGCTTGCTCCCGGTTCCCTGAGAACTTGGTCCCAGATTTCATCCATGTGTCAGGTGACTGTCCCCGAGCACCCACACCCTGGTCTCTAACACAGAGGTTCATCCTCATCTCCCAAGTATTATGCTGAGATAGCTACTAGAAGACCCTTGACTGAGCTCCTAGACAGATCAATATGCTTCAGCTCCAGCAAACAGCCTTATATTTCAGGAATAGAAAACAAGTTAAGAGAAATATTCTTTGGACATATAGCCTGCAACTATTTGGGTAAACCTATCAGGTAACTGTGTGTTATATAACTCTGATATAACACTATTTAATCTTAATTTATTTTCTAAATTATTTTTAAAAAGCCAGGCAGGACTCATAGTAGGATGATATCTTTTAGTAGACCAACAAGATTTTTGCAAAAAAAAAAATTCTTTAATTGCAAACTTTTGGGCACAAACACCCTTCATCAGGCATTGGAGAAAAGATTGTAAAAGTTCTCTTGGGTAGAAATGAAAGTTCATCTTTCATAGGATTTCACAGAGGAGTCAATAGATGGAAAATTCCTCTGGGCAGTCAGTTCACATAGCTGGTATGAAGCTTCTCACCTCCTGTGAGGATCTGTGATGTTGCAAAAAACTAGTATTATATCAGAGTTATATAACATACAGTTACCTGATAGGTTTGTGCATATAGTTGCAGGCTATATGTCCAAAGAATATTTCTCCTAACTTGTTTTCTATTCCTGAAATTGTCCTTAGACCTGGCTATGTCCTTAGACCAACACAGCTACAACCTACACCCCTGTAACAGTCTGACCCTGCACTTTTGCACCAGGGTGTGTTACAACTCCCACAGATTGGCCCACAGAGTGAAAGAACCTCATGTCCATCTTCAGGTTCTCTCATGTATACATTGCAATCACTCCTTTTTAGCCAATGGTACAAGAAACCACAATCCCGGTTTCTAGAGATGCCATGTTTTTATGTCAGTATCATGAGTTTTGGTGGACTGATGCATTGTTTTCAAGTGGTTGCAGTTGGCACTACTTACTTGGAGAGTACCTAAAAGGGAAAAGCATCGAGGCTTCGGCAATCTTGCACTAAAGCAAGGTTGGCCAGCCTGTAACACATATGCCGCAAGTGGCATAGGCAGCCTCTGTGTGTGACATGTGGCAGACTGGGGAAGGAACAAGCAGCACAGTGGCAAATGGGGCAGAAAGCAGAGCAGCAGATTGTCAGGAATAAGGAAGCAGAGTGGCCCTTGGAGTGGGTACAGACTAATATGCGACATGCCTGCCAAAAAGGTTGGGGACCACTGTATGAAAGTATCTATAATTGCTGCATCTATCACTTTTATGTACCAGTTGCTTTAACCATAGATGGATATAAGATGTGAGAGTAAGTATAACACGGATGTCGAAAACAACTGAATGTTTAAAGTCCCTGGAAAATTCCATAGAGGAGGAGAACGTATGGGACTATAAGCTTCCTTTTTCATTTAGTTTCATTTCTATTGATTACCTATGGAGAATAATAAGACACCTGATGGAGAGGAATGAGAAACTGAAATATGATCCATGTAATTATCTCAGTTTCAATTCTCCTCTTTTCTGTCTGTGCTGTGGGTGGAGTTAGGAGCTAAGAAAAGGGAATGCAATCTAGTGAACACTTTCACCTTGTCCAAGCTGCTGTGCTGGTAAGAGTCTCTTTCATATTCCTTTTTAAGATAATGATGTA